ATATGCCTAGATAAAATATTACTCATTTCCAAAATACAGGGTGTTAAGTCGAAAATTAAAAAAATTATTATTTTTTTATTTCTCAGTATAATTTTACTAAATTCGGTAAACATTTTTGGTATCATAAGATACACTTATTAGCAAAACAATTAGTTAAATTATTTTTGTCAGTGGCGTATGCCACCTTCCAAAAACTTATTTGTGCATTATGTACTCTTATTAGGAACTCATAAAGTGATTGATTTTCGAGATACTCAAAGGTGGATATTCTTCATTTTAATTTATTTTTAAATTTTATAATTTTAATTTTTTTTTAGAAATGTCCAATGAGAATAAATGATTTATTTAATCAGAATGAAAAAATCAAAATTATAGACCAAATAAATTTTTGAAGAATGGTGTGCGTCACTGGCAAAGTTTATTTAACTATTTAATTTTTTTATTGTAGTGTTTGTTTATTTTAAACAACAAGTAATTTGTTAATAATTTATTTGAACACCTATTTATTTTTGAACAATACTATTCTAATTTATATATTTCGAATGTCTTTAAATTGTTCACTATTTATCTTCACAACTTTGTGTACACGACTGACTGCTCCGTGTTCTTCCACCAATATTTATATACATATTAAAAATTCTGGTGATGCTCTAGAATGCTCCGGCAAAAACTAGAAATATTATCACGTTTGTTCTGGAAAGTAATCGAAAGCGCCTTCGCCATAGTCGTCACACATATTTAGTCTTAAGAGGTTTAATTATGTATGATAATCGGACAAGTTGAGCCAAATAAGACAGAGAGGAACTTGGAGGATTAGAGCATGACTGAATAATGAAATGGCTCGCATAACATTGCCCCCTCCTTAAGAGATAGTTTCTTCTGGAACTCTTACAAAACTAAACGGAATGGTTGTATCTGCAACTGAACCCTCTTTTACAATTTCCAGTTGCATGGAAGTAACAAAGGACTGTCTTTGGTGTAACCTGGACACTGGGCGAATGGCTGCAGACCAATATTTGGACTCCGGTTTCTTAAAAGATTACTTCCACCATGTTCCTAATGATCCTCCAATCCAGCTGATTACACTTCGAAGGTTTCACGATAACAGGTTTTCCTTTCTCTATAGTTACTTGCAACCGCGTTACTTTTATAGTTTCACATCTATCAGGCACCACCGTTTTTCCTGTACAGCCACCGATACGGTTGTTCGATTTGTAGTGTTCTTTGGGCGTTTGCGCTAACTGCTTACATTTCACCGCAATTCCAGCACCTATTAGTCTTCGGTTGCTTGTCAATAAGGCTTTTTATTATGTAAAACAATTGGTCGAATTTATTTTCTTGTTCTTCCTCTTTTACAGTTCTTACTTTACTGTATCCGCCAGAAGCCAGCGTAGCCGCTTCATATTCAAGAGCAGCGGACAAGATATCGACCAATGTTTTGTGACGGACTAAACAGAGTGTTCTTTGCATTTCATGGTCACGAATTCCATCAATAATGGCTTGAACAGCCAAACATTTAATCATGTATCTTCGCAATATCTTATTCGAAATCTTGAAGGCTTCCGTCACGTTTCTGTTTGCGATTCTTTAACTGTAATTGGTATACCTGCTCCAAGTGTTCGTGGCCATATCGCTTGTTGAGTCTCTTTTTCAGTTGTTCAAAGTGTTCGGTCTCTTCCACAGATATAGTTTAAAGGTTATTCAAAGCGTCTCCTCGAAGGGCGATTGTCAGATTCACATAATTTCTGTAAAATGGACCGTATTCGAGATATTTGAGAAAATGTGTAAATTTCGAATTTTGAAGAAAACTCAAAAACGGATAAGAAAAAAACATTAAATTTTAAACTTAAGTTTTATTTTGGCCTGACGTAAAATGATTAGATTTTGGACAAAGTCGGAACATATGGGGGGTACTTTATGAGATGCCGTTTTTATATTTTATGGAATATATCTGTTATTTATGTTTGGAGAAAAAAATTGTTCAAATAAAAGTTACTTCTAATATTATTATCTATAATTTCTGCTTTATGTCAAAATTTCCTGAAATGGTCCGTATTCGAGAAATTTGACAAAATGTGCAAAATTCTAATTTTTATGAAAATTGTTGAACTAAAAGTTGTTTGCGATATCGATCTCTATAATTTTTGTTTATACATGATTTTTCTAAAATGGACCGTAATGGAAAAGTGCTAAATATAAATTTTTCAGTATTTTCGTTTTCAATGAATATATCTATAGAAAAATGTTTCGAGGTAGATGTATGTGGACAATGTATATATTTAGTTTATCCTCTAAACATTTATAAAGATGCTGCAATAGGTTGTACAAAATAACCGGAAAAAGCCTATAATAAAGGGATAGGAAAGTCATGTGTTGGACACATCAGATTTTTTTTTCAGTTGTTCAAAGTGATCGGTCTCTTCCACAGGTATATTTTGAAGGATATTCAAAGCGTCTCCTTGAAGGGCGATTGTCAGATTAACTGCCTTTTCTCTCTCAGATCATTCGTTTTCACTCGCAGCGGTCTCGAACTGTTTAAGATAGTTTGTCCATGACATCTTTCCGTCAAAAGTTGTGGCTTTAACACGAGCAGAATTTACAGCGCCTTCCAATTTCAACTTTGACTCCACCTCATGATACTTTATTTCACTGACCTGGGACTGTTTTGTATTTTCCAGTTCTTCTATCTTCTTTTCCATCTCTTTTATTTTTTCTTCAAAAGAAGTTATTATTTTCTCCTCAACGAAAGAAATCTTATCTTCAATAGAAGAAATTTTGTTTTTCATAGACGTCATGTCAGAAGAGATTTCATCTTTTAAAGAAGAGATTTTGTTTTCCAATTTGAAAGAAATTTTTGTTTTTAAAGAAGATATGTTAGAAGTCACCTTTTCTTCTAAGGATGAAATATCAGACGACACTTTACCTTCTAAGGAAGGAATTTCAGAAGAAACTTTCTAAAGAAGAAATATAATTTTTTATGTAGGAAACATCTGAAGAAACTTTATTTTCCATGGAAGAAACTTTATTATCTAAAGAAGAAATGTCAGAAGAAATATCGGTTTTTAAAGTATTTATCTTACTTTCTATGTCAGAGAAAATTGAAGAAATTATAGCAGAAGATGAATCATCAGAAAATAGATACGTTTACGAATCCAAACCTTTATTTTCTATTGCTTCTTTAAGTCAGTTCTGCTTTCTTCCCTGTCGTCTCCAACTCCCGACGTAGCTCGGTCACATTTAAATCACACAGTCTTTTAGCCATTTTTAATCACTATTTATTTACACTATTTCACTTCTCGACACCAATGTAACATTTGTTTATTTTAACCAATCATGTATTCCGGAGCTGATGGGTAGGCAAATCGAAACATATTCGCATTATCTAATTCGAATTCTTGAAGGCTCTCGTCACGTTTCTGTTTGCGATTCTTCAACTGTAATTGGTATACCTGCTCCAAGTGTTCGTGGCCATATCGCTTGTTGAGTCTCTTTTTCAGTTGTTCAAAGTGATCGGTCTCTTCCACAGATATAGTTTAAAGGTTATTCAAAGCGTCTCCTCGAAGGGCGATTGTCAGATTCACTGCCTTTTCTCTCTCAGTTTTGTTAATTATTTATTTGAACACCTATTTATTTTTGAACAATACTATTCTAATTTATATATTTCGAATGTCTTTAAATTGTTCACTATTTATCTTCACAACTCTGTGTACACGACTGACTGCTCCGTGTTCTTCCACCAATATGCTCTAGAATGCTCCCGCCAAAACTAGAAACATTCTCACGTTCGTTCTGGAAAGTAATTGAAAGTGCCTTCGCTATATGTTTGATCTTAAGGGGTTTAATTATGTATGATAATCGTACAAGTTGAGCCTCGAAGGCCAAATAAGACAGAGAGGGACTTGGATGATTAGAGCATGATTGAATAATGAAATGGCTCGCATTACATTATGATATATCCAAAATTAAAAAAATAAAGAAAATTATGAATATTCAACTTTGAGGATAAATATATCGAAAACCAATGACTGTATGAGTTCCTAACAAGAGTAAATGATTTATTAAAAAAAAAAAAACAAAAAAATTTAAAGGTATAGTCCAAATATGTTTTTGAACATTGTCGTAAAATTTAGAGGGATGAAGGTGTCACTTATCCATGCCGTACACCACTGTCAAAGTTTATTTAACTGATTATTTTGCTAATAGGTATATCTCATGACACCAAAATTTTTTACCGAATTTGGTAAAATTATACTAAGAAATAACAAAATTATAACCATTAATAATTTTTGAATTTTAAAATTTCGGAAACAAGTAATATTTTATCTAAGCATGTTTTGTTTAATCGTCTTATATTTAATCAGAGAGTCTTCAGTTGTTCTGTGTCCCTTTCTTAATGAGTATAGTAATTAGTGCAAATGAAATCTATAAATACGTATTTTCGATGAAATGAAGGGATGATCTTGCACCAACGCAACATACTAAATAGAATAACCAATACTCTAAAAATCGTATTTTACATTATTCTACTAATTAAATACATCTTACATAACTTTTTGGAGACTTATTTTTGGCATTTCATAACGTGACCAACTTCTTCTTTACAAATAAATAACTATGACGTAAGTTTTGCGTTAGGAATTAAAAAAAAACCAGTGGTTTTAAGTTATTTGCTCATTGCTCATTTTAATTAAAAATTGCCGATTAGTTTTCAGATTAATCTTTATTAGAGCATTTAAAAATAAAATTTTTATCATAAATTAAGTCTAGATAATAAAAAGATTTAACCGATCCTATAAATATAGTTTTATTCAATATTAATGAAGTAAAATGATTAAACGAATAAATGTTTTTATCTAAATTAAAACAATTTAAAAAATACAGATAACCACTCAAATAAAATTGTTTTATTCTGATTTCGTTTTGATTTATATTTTTTCATTATAGTTAAAACGTATAGAAATAAAAGATTTTTGATATATCTCAAAACGAATTCAGTTAAATGGATATTTTTCGTCTAGAAACATGTGACTGCGTTGAAGTAGCATCTCCAATAATTTCTTCCTTTCTGTTGTCCAATGTTACCATGTCCTCTTCGTTGCAAATCCATCTGTAATTAAACAAACAATAATATTAATTTTGATACGTATTTAAAATACGCATGTGAATCATGAGCAATATCTGAATCCTTTATGGGGTACTGGAAGCTAAACTTCCCACCAGGGTTTTAGCTTAAAGCTTTTAAGGTGTTAGCTTTGACACCAAAGTGGAAGGTAGGAAGGGATACTCATTTGTGTATCACGGCATAAAATAAAATAGCAAAATCTTTAAATATTCCAAGCGGTGGGTAAAAAATAAGGGGGTCTATTCGCAAAAGATCGGAAAGAAATGAAATTTGGTGGGATGGTAGACATGGGTCCGCTGATACTACACCTAAGTTTGCGACCTCGGGGGTTGCCGCTCGAGGGGTAAAGGGATGAAACCTCTGCGTCGCGACGCTTTTCGTGAAATAGCGCCGTTGTGGTAAGTACTATCGAAAAAAGTTCAAATGAAATATGTACAGAAAAAAATGGTGCACAATTTTGACCTTTATATTTTTTTGTCTGCGACCAATAGTTCCCGCTCTACGACGCGCCAAATTAGGGGGGTTGATTTGCAATGTTCAACAAAATGAGAATTTCAGCGCGGATTAAGACGAAGATTGCTATAAAATAATTATGTAATATTTTTTTATAAAAGAGTGATAATTTCAGGGTCTGCAGATGCCCGATTTGATACATTTGGTCGTATATAATAAATGCTATGATGTTTTGAAGCGCGCCCCTACATACTCCGATATAAAGATTTTGTAATTATCAGAATATTTTCTTATAATTGTTGACCTAGACGCCAAATTTATTATTTTTGTGCATTAGTTGTCATACAGCATACGTGCCCTTTGTTCGGCCTCAACTTATTTTATTATTATTATTATTTACGAGTATTTATTATTGTTTACGAGTATGTAATATATTAATTCTTTTCCATGCTATATAGCAAATTGCGGATAAAATTAATACGGTGTCGTATATCTACCGCGCGATGAAAAGCAACGGGCCTACCACGGGCCTGGACAAATAGGATCGAAGTAGGTCTGTTTGCTTTCCATCGCGCGGTAGATATTTATGCGACACCGTACAAATCTGACGCGCGACGTTGCCAGCCGTTACCAGCCATTGTTATGCTGAGATCCGCCAAATCGGCCAAATAAACAGGTCTGCTCTCAGGCAAATTTCGACATGGGTTGAAATTTTATCACAAAATTTGTACGTTCAATAATAAATAATAAACAATGAATTTCAAAATTACAAATTTATAAGTTAACAAATAATAAACAAATTTTGTGCAATAGATAAGTCATTGTAAATCAAGGTCTGAAATCTCATTCTTAGAACTGTCATCAAAAATTACTCTTATAATGAGCTCATCAACGTTGTCTTGGAGATTATCAGCCACCCACATTTTTTTTTTCGTTTTTTTCTGACATGTGCAACGCTTACGCCAATTTCGTTCAATGACATATTCACATGCTTCATCTATCAATGAACAAATCAAAGTTGTTCATAGCAAGGCTAGGCGCTTTACTCCATCGGGTTAAGCTCGCAATGATACGGTGGTAAGCGTAAAACAGTTACCTCGTATTTTGCAACTATTTCCTTAATCTTATATTTGTCGTATTGCTCTCTGTATAGGTTGGCAACTTCAAGCTGCTCAAATTTTAAATAGGAGTCATCAAAGAAAATGTTTTTTTCACACAGCCAATTTTTTATTAAGAGTTTATTCCATGAGGTAGCTGGAAAACTAAATTTAGAGGAATAATACGAAGCGTTATCCATAACAACAACGTTGTTTCGTCCATTTTTGGGTAAGTTAGGAATTAGCGACTCCTGAAACCATTGCTTAAAATAGTCGGCGTTCATTTCGTCATGATAATCGCCATAATTTTTCTTTTTCATGAATACATGCGCGGCGCCAGTAAAATTCACCTTCAAATCCTGTATGAACAATAACGTAGATCTCTTTGTGTAGGTACTTTAAGACCTAAATTTAAACTCTTTATAAACGCATCTCTACGATTTTTTATGGTGTTATCACATCATAGTTAACCGTTTGACCCACGTTAGTCTCATCTAAATAATGTTACATTTTTGTTGGCGATATTATTTGATGGCTCTTAAATACCTGTACCGCCAATGAATGATGTCGTTTAGTTCTAACATTATACTCTTACAACTATGGTTCACATATACAAAACCAATATCTTTCATCAATCTACATAGTTTTCTTACAGAAAACGATGGTGAATTCTCATTCCTCGAATAATCTGAAAAATTGCATTCAAAGTTGGTGGAATGTTTTTTAAAAAATCATTGTGCACAATTCCTCTCAATAAGCTCTTAAAATCTTCATCAATTGTATATTCGCGATAATTTGACTGCCTTATCTGCTTTTTTCTACTCATAATAAATTTGGAATAAAATTGTTTTCTTACCCCTCGTTTCTCTGGCAATGGGTTATCGTAATTTATCAAACTAAAATGTATTAACTAATAATAACGATTAAATAACATATGGGTGAGGTTTTCCGGGTTTTCCTCACCTGTAAGTCAAATGGCACCATCAATTATCTTTAAGTCGCCCCGGAGCGCCACGGTAAATAATAATAATAACCGTCCCTTCCCCTACACAAATCGTTCAGTCAACTTCAGGGGTTGAAATTCACTCGTAAGGGGGTGAATTAGGGAGAGTATTATTATTATTATTATTATACATATTTTTAAGTCTTTACCTTAACGGAAGATATTTAGAAAATTATATATTTATGAAATTCACTTATATTTAGATTTTCTTTACAATTAGTTAAGATCTACAAATCCCCAAAATTACGGTACTCTCATGGAAATCAGAGCAGAAGCCAAGACGAATACAGCCATACATAATAAGACCAAAGACCAAAGAATCCTTGTCGGAGAAAACGAAGAGATGGGTATGACGTGCGGAGTGCCACAGTGCTCGGGCCCACCCTATGGAATGTGTTCTACATGATAGTATACAAGATTAATCTACATGTCACGGTGACGTAATGTGGTGGAAGGCGTGGCTTTACGAATTTGACGTATGAGCTGATCGAAAACAGCGCTAGAAAAAAAATTAATCAGCTCATGGCCAATCAGCCATATTCCGCACCATAATACATCATGCGTGAACTCGACGAGATTTCGTCGGCTAAGTATCATACCTCTGAAATTTTTTGTATCATATGTGTTCTATGATGATATTCTTAGGAAAGATATGTCAGATGATGTAGCCACAATAGGATACGCTGACGACCTGGCTCTGATAGCGTGCGGAGAAGACAGGAAAATTATAGAAGAAAAGATCAAATAGGCAATGGAGATAATCTCAATCTGGTTGATGAGGAATGACCTACAGCTAGTCTCGCAGAAAACTAAAGCAATAGTCCTAGCCGGCAAAAGAATAATTAGAAATGCCACTATCACAGTAGACGACACCTAGGTACACACTAGCATCAACCTAAAATGAACATGTCGATGCATATCAAAGAAGCAATCAAAAAAGCTGACAAAAAACAGCTGCTGTTGGAATTGCTATTATGGCTTTCTTGATATTCAAGCATACTTGCCTTTTAACTGTGTAATGGTTCGAGGTTGCCTAGTCTTTGGCCACCATATAACTGACCCATAGGTTATCATAGGCCCTATGACTCTAATGTGCAGCCATACAAACATTTTTGGTTGTACCCCCCAAATTTACTCCTAATAAATGTGATAAACGGAATTGTATTTGACTGTAAAGTGATATTTGTTTTCTGAAGACCAAATTATGTGAAGTGAAAGTAAGTATACGGGTGTTAAAGGAACAAATAAATAGAAAACACCAGAGGCTCTGGTTGGAACTTCCTGGACTTAGAGAGTCCAATAGATTCATAGAGGGGCCATCCACGAGCAGACAACATCAACTGCTAAACCTTAGCAGAATCGAACTCAAGGCCGTAATAGGACTCCTTACGGGACACTGCGGCCTTAGAAGACACCTAAATCTCTTAGGGATATCTGATGACTCCCTATGTAGAATATGTAAAGAGGAGGACGAAACTCCTATTCACATACTATGCTACTGTCGAAACCTTAAATGAGAACGGGAATGGTACTTTGGGGTACAATATCCGGAACCTGAAGAAAATCGCGAAAGCACCCATCATACATATTCTTGAATTCATAAAGAACATCAATATGATGGGATAGAAACTGTGAGGGGTACAATAAGCCTAGAGCTTCAGTACAAATGGGCTTTGAACCACGCCCTGATTCAGATAGATAGAAGTGTCAATTTGCAAATGCAATATCCTGTATATCTGGTCAAGGGATGGAATTACCCGGTCGATAATTTTGTTCAAAAATGTATAATCTTTAACCCAGTACTATTTCTCAATAAGGAAAGCACGGAGTTATTTACAGGAAAGTTAATCCCGTTTTGACCCCTGGTTAAGCCCATGGTTTAGGATATCTTTTATTGGTTTTGATCTAACAATTTTACTTCAAAATCATTCGTCTAGTTCCTAAGGTTCCAACGTTGGAATATTTAATAAACTAGAGATAAGTAGTGAATTATTTTCCTCTTCGTTCCATACTTTTCTATTCCTTTCAAAAAACAATAAGATTATTTGTTTTAATTTCCTATTTTTTTATGCATCGCAACGTTATAATTGAAATTGTTGCATTCAAACTAGAAAACAACAAAGGATAGATTAAACAAGAAAACAACAAAGGAAGATTAAACTGAGAAAACAATGCGAAACGATGAATGCACTCATTGTTAGTCCATTTATAATTCGTTTCACACAATGTTCCTAAATCTTAAGGATATATAGGATGTCTCGCGAACACAACCAACAACAACAGTAACGCTCAGCAATTTATTATTCTTTGACGTTTGCCGATGCCGTTTAGAAGAAATTAGTGACCATCTTTTTATTTGTTTTTGAAGCTATCGGTTATATTTAGATGTGCTTATTTGTAAAATATTTGTGATTTTTGAGTATTTCGAGATGTAAGTTTGTTTATGAGTTAATGTTGTATGCTTTGTTTAAGTAAGTATACACCACCGTGCCTCCTAAAAAATTTACTGGTGTTGGATAAAAAATTATCCGTAGCCAAGGAAGACCAATTATATAAAATGTTACTTTTCATTAAAATAAACAATGTCATTATTTTTTATTATTTCAAACCAATTTTACTGTTGTGCACTACCAGTACCACCGAAATACTTTTACTTCACTGCCAATAGCAATGAAATACTTCCACTTCGTTGCCTTGTCAAAAAAGCTTAAATTCTAACATCAACAAATTTATAGTTTGAAGAGAAACTTATTTACCCAGTCCCACTAATTCACTTACCGATGATCGTAAGTCGTCTTCCGATTCGGGATAAATTTTACTAGATTTTGAAGGGAATTGTCCTAAGCTACTACTCCTTTCTTCCTCATCGATAGCTTCTTTTAAGGCTACCATCAGTCTATTTACTAAAAGAGCTGTACGCTTCTTCGGCACAATTAACTGAAAAATAGAAACAAAATATGTAGAAATTTAATTTAAAGAAGAATTTTGGTGAGATATCACTCACAAATACCATTTTATAGCACCATCAATTACTGTCTTGATTTAAAATAGTGTAATAATCAAAATTTGGATAGTACGTAGGCGGTATACCAAAAAGTAAAGACATAGTTATAATATGCAATTTTTCGGAGGAAACATGTAACCGTTGCTCTCAAACCATTGGTTTTGGGCTCGTTAAGGATTCAACATCTAGTTCTAAACCAGGTTAATATAAAATACGAAGGAATAATAATATAGAAAAATAACCGCGAGAAGTTGATACTACGAGGTACCACCAAAACAACCTAGTAGCCTTTTCAAGAAATACAAAACTGTAATGAAAAAAAGTCAAATATATAGGCCTAACCCTGGACAATAAACTACTTTAAAACATAAATTCGAAGGAAGTCATAAATAAGGCCACAAAAGCTCTACTGGTATGCAGAAACATTGTGGGAAAAAGATGGTGATATAACTCAAACACTCTACAATGGATTTACCTATATAACAATACTGAGACTAACCCGCACCGGCTATACCTTGGAGTAACAAAATGTTTAAATCACCGGTGTAATAAGAATCTGTCATACGGCCGCAATGGAGCTGATCTTAAACAGCATACCTCTACATTTAATGCTAGAGAACGTAGCCAAGAGGGCAAGATATAGAATTATCAGTAACGGTATAGTCAGACGACATTTCATTAGCTCCAGGACCGAAGATATTTAGGATATGCCCAGGCCCGTTGCGAGGGGGGTGTCAGGGGGGCTGAGCCCCCTAAAGCTTGTCTGCGCTTCCCCTAGAAAATTGCCATATATAGGAGCGCGATGATTAACGGCTGTTGAAAAATACAAACAATGAGTCGCATCGACGATTTTTAAAATTGTATTGATTTTTTTTTGGAAAATGTGAATTGGGAAAAAATGTATACTATAAAAATTTTATACTAGAACCGTTATATCAATATATTTTTAGTAATGGAGTCACTTATATTCTCTTACAAGAAAATACTTTATTAACAATTACTTATTGCTTACTGTCCATTTTAATCAAAACATTATAAACACAAAGCCACAGACAATAAATTGCAACTGGAAATCGGAAAACGGATAACCATTAATTTTATTTCGGTAATTCCCCTAATTTCCTTGTAGTGTCAAACCAAGATATTTTCTTAAAACTTAAAACTGCTTACTGATAGATAGCAAGCAGTACACGCACGGACAAAATTCTACAAAGCAGGGAGGCCACACTGACTGACATGATGAAAATAGTCTCAGCTTGAAGAAAAGCGAAATAATGATGAGTACCACCGGCTCGTTAATATAATGAACGTACAATTTTCAATTATTGATTCAGAAGACCCATCACCCCAAGAAAAAGAAAACTCAGCAAAGTGTTAGAAAATGTTGTACTTACCGAGCCTATGAGATCTACAGTCGTTAGCGAAGCAGATTTCAAATAAATATTTTTTGAAGTTCTGGACATAATATTAGTAGAGCTAAGACGTAGATTTAACGACAATGAAAAATATCAACCACTGGCCGAACTGGGCATTCAATTAACAAGTGCTGCGGAAGTAGAATTTGTCAAGAAATATATAAATCGACAAAAAAACGAGAATGCTGCAGAAAATCCCGATATTTTTCAGTGTATTTTTAGGCAAAACACTGCTTTTAAAGAAACTTATAAATTTCTAGCGACTTGGCGTACTTTCGCCTGTAGTACGGCTCTTTTTGAATCCAGTTTTTCTGCCCTTACTAGAATTGATAAACCTCAGCCACCTCAGCGGAGGTCAATGTTACATCCGAGACTGGTAAACCTTACCCATTTAGCATTTGAAAAAGAAAACAAAAAACATAAATATTGAAAATCTGCTGGTTGAGTTTAATAATTTAAAAAATAGGAAACTGCAATTATTCTGAAAATTGATAAAAAAAATATTTTTTTAACTCTTTTGCATATTTGATGCCGCTTTTACTAACTCAACCCTGAACCAGTTAAATGTTCATAGGAAAAGACATTTTATATTTTTTTGTTGTAGAGTTCATTCTTTTGCTTAAAATATTTTTTATTGAATAAATATGTGTTTTGTAATTGCTCGTTTTTTTAATGCCCTTCTCGGAGGAAGGAATTCAAAACAAAACTCCTCATGTTTTTTTGGAATTTTTATACTCTAATAAAAAAAATGAAGCCCCCCAAGAGTTTGTTTAGCCTCCTCTGAAACATGGGGCTAGCTACGACCCTGGATATGCCACAAGACGAAATGAAAAAGAAGTACAGTTTTGTGAAAAACACTTTAAAATCACAGAGATGAGTTGCAAAGGATAAATCATGTTTGCAACCTAAAATCATGTAATTCATTGTATACAGATGGTTGTGTATTATATACGCATATTACACTTTCTTCTGTGGCTTTGAAACCATTGGTATTCCACTAAATTTCATAATTTTCGGAACCATCAGATACCATGAATTCCATGATTTTTAGTTGCAAACACGATTTATTCTTGCATCTCATCTCTGTGGTTTACATTTACATCAAGGAGGTTGCTCTGACGATAATAACACGTCTCCATACGGTTGGAATAGAACATTATGTAGGATCTGGTGAGGCGAGACGTGGGTTTTGGCAGGAGGCGCTCGATACGCTCCCACTGCTTTAAGCGAATATGGACTCGATCTCATCGAGATATATCTTCCATTAGCCATATAAAGTTGTAACAGAACAAATAAAAGAGCCGGAAGTGGCAGGCAGGTACGATTCATATCTACACCGACGGTTCTAAAACAAAACAAGGCCCAGGATGTGGAATATACTCCAGAGCCTTAAACCTTAACATAAAATGGGCTGTGAGCTATAATTCCAGTGTAGTTCAAACATAGCTCACGGGGATTCTCATAGGATCAAAAGAAATCACCAGAAACAATACCACTGGAAGGAGCACGCTCATCTATACAGATAGCAAACAAGTACTACTCATCCTGAACAGACCACGAATTTATTCAGGGTTAGTACTAGAATGTCACAAAGTTTTGGCCGAAGTATCCATCAACAATGTGGTCACCTCAAGATGGATCAAAGGTCACGCCACATCAAAAGGTAACCGTCTTGCTAATTCACTGGCCAAGAAAGCAGCCAACCAAATACGTTTTGGACCTGGCCCTTTCATTGGCCTGACAAAATCAGTAGTGACAGACCTAACTAAAGAACATTCCTTCGTGAAATTCAAGGAAAGGTGGGTTGAAACAAGAAACTGCCAGGGAGCTTTTAAATTATCCTGACAACACTGCAGCAAACAAATACTTGATTGACTATGACTAGATAGAATCTGCGCCTAGTCACAGGCATTCTGACTGATCATTGCCAAGTACGGAAGCATCTCCATATCATGGGGCTGTCAGAATCCGCACTCTGCAGAGGGTGCGAACAAGAAGATGAGACCATCGAGCATATCCTCTACGATTGCTAGACACTCTTATTTATTAGAAGATTTGTGTTCGGCGAGTATCGGCTAACACCCTCCGATATAAGAGAAGCACCTCTTGGCGACGTCGTCATACTATATCAAATCTGTAGGCTGGTTCACGAGCTAGGATATGCTAAGCAGGGGGTCAAAAAACAAAAATATGGCAAGTGTGGACCTCTGCGATAGACCCATTAATAATGGATACCAAGTACGTACAATGTACATTTTTCTTTGAAACGCCCTGTTTATCTAGCAAGCAATAGAAAGTTTAAAACAATGACGATTATTAAAATTTAAGAAAAGGATATGAATCAAATTTTTTATTTTATTGTAATAGTTAAAACTATTTTCTTTAACCTAAGTCCGCCTGGAAAAGGCAATCAGAAATTTCAGTTAAAAACCATTCATAATTTAAATTTGAGTCCTCTTATAGTGTACAGAATTTTATCCCCGAGACTTTTCAAAAATGAAAAAAACATTTTAAATCACATCTAATGATGCTATTTGAACGCCTTTGTCAGAGAGTAGGAGATAAACAGAATTTTGTGATATAAAATTTCTTCGTAGTGTCGAATATTTTTATTTTTTTTACAATTATGGAGCATATTTTATTTTTAAGTTTACAGAAGGACGTCAAAGTTATAATTGGAATAAAGTTACTTACGTCAAGAGAAAGTTTTCTAATGCATTTTTAAAGATTATGAAAAGAAATAATTTATATGTATGAGTAAAAAATGTTTTATTAATACGTATTAGATACATATATACAATTATTATATTAAAAAGCCTTAAGTGATTACAGGACGCTTGAATTAAAAATTTAGTGAGACCAATGGTTTACGCTTGGGTTAAACAGCTCCAAGAGAACTATCAATTTGTTAAAAGGAAACATGTTTAGGAAATATGCTTGTGGAATATGCTGTTCCAATGCATGTGCTTTACGACACCCATCACCCACCTTTCCATAGAGAAAGAAAGAAGTTTGTTATTTTGTATTGCTCATTTATTTTTCATTTTCTTTGTTTTCCAACAAATAAACATTCTTAATTATTTTCAAAATTTTGCCCCTCCCTATAGAATTGATTGTGTAAAGACGCCCATGCTAATGAGATGTATTGCATGAAAATTAATTTACAAGATCTTGGATTAGCATTTTTAGTAAATTTGCCCAAAACCAAGACAAAAATAACTCGGAAATTTATAATTATCGATAATTTTTAAAAAATATGTAAAAATCCATCAGTAGTTAGTCGTCGAACACTACTATTTTTAAACTATCAGAACGGTAAAAGAATTGGTATTAATAAATTTACAAAAAAAAAAAAAACATTTTAAATTTTTTTACGTAGGAAGGCTTAAGGAGCAATGTCTGCAAATATTTTTACATGGACAGTTCTAAGGGACAAAGAAAACAAACATTTTTACATGAGCAGGCTAAAGAGGTAAAGGGATCATATAATTTTACATTAAAAGATTTAAAAGGGACCA